TCCGGTGGCTGGCTGCTGAGGCTGCCCATTTGTAACTCTGGCCGGTTGCTTGGATACCACATTGCTAGGTGAGTTGTCCTCGCCTTCTCCCCATGTTGCCTTATAGGCCTTGCTAGACTCAAAGTTCTTCGTCCTGTTACATGGACAGACACAAAGGCCACAGCACTTGTTGAGTTCTGTTAAAGTCTTCTCTGTCTCTCTCATATCTTTATTTATCTGATCCATGCCTTCTTCTATGCGGTTTAGTTGTTCCCCTTGTTCACCCAGCATGGTGATGGTCTGGATTCCTGCATCTTGAGACTGCACGGCTAAGTCAAGCATTTTCCTTGTACTTTCCAGAGACTCATCAGTAAGCTGGTTAGCCCTTAGCTGAATATCTTCAGGTGACATGTGATCCATGATGAATCAAAATTCTACCAGGCACAGCAGTGGCAATGTGGATATTTGAAAGGTTCCTGCTACTCCTGTCCGGCCGCTGCAGTTTGGACACTCGAGACCCGACCAGGCCGCTATTTGTTTATCAATAAAATTATGGGGAAAAATTAAAAGAGGGTGAAAGCAAAAGTAAGAATACATGCTGTGCCTGGGATATGTAGCAAGAGCTATTGCAAAGTCTTCAGGGCATCAGTGAGTGCCTTTATGCTGTCTAAATCGCGAGGAAACCTGAGAGAATGTCTAAACCTGTGAAAACTTCTATATACTGGTCCTGAGCGGCAGTGGCGGAATTCCATACCTGAGGCTGACGTCATGTCTAGACCATCTTATTTAAACCTGCTCAAGTTCTCTTGAGAAGTCCATGTGCAGGGCTTTGGAAACTTTTGCTACTGTCTGGGACCTTTAGTTAACAGGTCAGGCCTGCTTCCCCAGCCAGCTTTTGGCATGCCCTTAATCACCTGTCTCAGGAGTACAGGCAGGCACCGTGGCACCCAGCTTTCCCCTTTCCTTAATATGAATCTTATCTCTGTGGACCCTTCCCCAACCATTCTTGTCAGTACAGTCTCATTTAGCAGCCACTGGGCTGGAATCAATTTGCCCCAAATCAAAGTGGACAGGGATAGGAAATAACCAGATGTGGTGCAACAACTTAATTTTTAAAAATTCTGCACTTCATAGATTCACACAGTTAAAAATCCTAAAGATAAGTTGTGTGTGATAATGCATGCCTATAATCTATCTCAATACCTGGAGGGGCAGAGACAGGAGGATTGCAAGTTTGAGTCCAGCCTGGGCAATTTAACAATTTATCGAGACCCTGTCTCAAAAAAATCAAAAAACTCTAGGGCCAGCGAGATAGCTCAGGGACTAAGCACTTGCTTTGGCAAGTGCAGGGACCAGTGTTCAATACTCGGTCTCATATGCCATACCAGCCCCACCCCTGGGGTGTGCTGACCCAGCAACTGAGTCCGGGTGTGGTGGCACACTCCTACAATCCCAGTACTGGGGAGGCTGAAAACAGGAGGATCACTATGAGTCCGAGCTGCATAGTGAGACCCTGTACCAAATACATAAATGAAAAAAAGTAAAAATAAAAAAAAAAAATTAAGGCCATGGGTTCAAGTCTCAGTACCCTTAAAAAAAAATCTACAGAGAAAAATCCTTCTTTCATCCCATTTCCAAGTTAACCAATTCTTTTCCTTACAGGAAACAAATGCTGAAGTAGTATCTCAAGGGTCTTCTAAAGAGGTATTTTATTTTGACAATTCATTATTTTCTTTTTAAGACAGGGTCTCACTATGCAGCTCAAACTAGCCTTAAGCTCACTTTGTAGGGCCAGCAAGATAGATCAGCTGTTTAAAGTGCCTGTTTAGTCAAGCTTTGGCAAGCTATCAGGGACCATGTTTCAATCCCTTGCACCACATGCCACACCAGTCCTACGCTCAGGGCAGGCTGAGCCAGCCACACACACACACACACACACACACACACACACACACAAATAAATAAATAAATAAATAAATAAATAAATAAATAAAATGCTCACTTTGTAGTCCAGGATGGTCTTGAACTCACAACAATCCTCCTGCCTCAGCCTCCCAAGAGTAGACATTACAGGCGTGTGCTACCATGACCAGCTGGTTTTGCCAGTTTAAAATGTCCAAAAATTCTTTGGAGGGGCCCAGCTGATAGCTCAGTGGAATAAATGCTTGCCTGTTGAGTGCAAGGTCCTGAGTTCCAACCCTGGTACCACCAAAAAAAAAAAAAAAAAGAAAGAAAAGAAAGAAAAAATTTCAGGGCCAGCCAGATAGCTCAGCAGACTAAAGCACCTGCAGGGACCAGGGTTAGATCCTTCTTGTGCTGTACAAGCCCTGACCCTAGGAAGCGCTGAGACTGCAAATGAGACTGGGCATTGTGGTGTGGGCCTGTAATCCCAGCGCTTGGGAGGCTGAAAAAATGAGGATCACTACGAGTCTGATCTGTGTAGTGAGACCCTGTAGAATCTGTAGTAAATGCATTTTTTTATAAAAATTTCTTTGGTACTCCTCCTTTAGGAGCTGCATTCTGCTCCCTTTGAGCATGCGCTGGACTTGTCACTCAAGTGTAACAAATGGAATCTAGTAGACTTGCGCTGGTGCCCAGACTTCTGGGACTGGCGCATAAAAGGCTTTGGACCTTCCCTCTGGCTTTACTGTTCTTGGGAACACTGCTTCTGCTTCCCCCAGAAGCAGAAGTTGTCGCGTCATGTGGGTGCTCTTGCCAACTGCTGTGTGGGCGACTCTGGAGCAGTGGATCCGTGATGGGCTTCTCACCTGTGTCTCAGGCCCCGCATGCTTGGCTGGACCCATGCAGGCCCCACTCGGGACTCCTGCCTGGGCCCTCTGCTGTCCTTCCCATTTGGGGTTCAGCAACTTCGTAGAAAGGCCTCCCCCTTCCCAGGCACCACTGAGTGCAGGAAGCATTTAGTACATGCCTACTTAATGACTTTAATCGACTTTAATAGATCCAGGCACTGAAATCTGCTGATCTCCCCCTTTTTGTCTGTTTCTCAATCAGACCATGGGTCCCAATTCAGAGGTCTGAGCGCTTGGCTCCAGCAGGATGAATGCAGCCTGGTGGAGGGGTCAAGTTGCGTGGGCTGGCACAGGACTGTCCCAATGCGAACCGCGCCCATCCTGGAGCTTAGGTGGCTGCATCCTCAGGGAGGCTTCAGAAGGGAACTCCACGGGAACAGCTAACAGTGGAGACTGAGATGCGCGGTCCGGGGGAGTTGGGAGCTAAGAGAGGGAGAGGGCAGCTGGGGGACAGGAGGGCGTGGCCGTGGGCTGGGAGGGGGCAGGAGGGTCGGCTGGCTTCCTCGCTGCCAGCTACCAGGCGGTACCCTGCAGCCAGCTTGCTGGTGGAGGCAAAGTGACTTTGCTCCCTGGAGAAGCCCAAGTGGAAACCGTGATCTGGTTTACAGGTGTGGGAACAAATCTCCTGAAAATTGTAGTTCTCTAAATTGACAACAGGGAACGCCCTCTGCTCATTGCTGCTCCGCGAGAAAGTGTGTGGGGTGTGTGTGTGTGTGTGTGTGTGTGTGTGTACAAATAAAGGCTGAATGGAGGAGACCAAGATTAGGGTTTAAGAACTACACACACACACACACACACACACACACACACAGAACTACACAAAAAGCCTGATGTGGTGGCTCATGCCTGTAATCCCAGCATTTGGGAGGCTGAGGCAGGATTGTTGCGAGTTCGAGATCAGCCTAGGCTACAAAGTGAGCTACAGAGATCTTGTCTCGAAAAGACAAAACAAACAAAGAAACAAAACCAAAAACTCCCCAAACCTACAAGAATAGTGGTGGGTGGATTCAGCAGTCAGAAGTTAAAAATGTGAGGGGATATGATGGAGCTTGATGGAATAATCCCAGGAGACTGAGGCAGGAAATTGTCTGGAGTTCAAGGCCAGCTTTGACTATATAGTGAGACCCTGTCACAAACAAGCAAACATATAATACAAGGTGAGGGGAAGGTTCTGAGAAGTAACTGGATGTGGGCAGCAGGTGTAAGGCCAACGTTAAACTGACTTCTTTGTCACCCACGAGGATGACATCCTAAACTCAGGCAGGATTCAGGAGCCAGCATGGCTCTAATCCCAGCACTCGGGAGTTTGAGGCAGGAGGATCTCTGTGAGTTTGAGGCCTGCCTGCACTGGGTAGTGAAACCCTGTCTCCCTGCCCCCTAAAAAAGGATTCAGGGAGAGGAACAGCAAAGTGAGGCTCTGAGCCTGTGTATTAGGCGGTGGGCAGTTGCTACTTGAGCTATCACATGCCCTGGGAAAGGTAGGAGTACACATGTGTATCGGGGGTTGTCGAGTGTGTCACTCCAGAAGCCAGAACGTGGCTGAGCTTGCCAGGTCGGTGAGACAGGTGAGCAAAGGCAGGAGTCGGCCTGAGGTGTTGCTTCCCAGAGCGGGTGGAATAACCAGGGGAAGGTGAGGTGGATGTGAAGGATGAGAAAAGAATTTAAGTGTATTAGGCAAACCTACCGACTCCCTGTGATTAATGTAGTCACTGTGCATGGCAAACATGTACTAATACAAAGTGGGTAAAGGTTGGGCATGGTGATGTTGGCCCGCGTATCCAGCTTTCTGTGAGGCTGAGGCGGGAGGATTGCAAGTTTGAGCCCAGTCTGGACAATTTAGTGACCTGGCAAGATTCTGACTTAAAAAAAAAAAGGTCTTGGAATGTTGGTCAGTGAAAAGGCCTATATTTAACTCCACAAGGAAAAAAAAAGTACTGGATTCCGATTTGATTTGAAACTGTCTCATTGCTGTTTATCAATAAAATTTTGGAAAAAAAAAAAGTACTGGAGTATTCCTTTTATCAAGTTTTTGTTTTTTTGGTACTGGGGCTCAAACTCAAGACCTCATGTTGCCAGGCAGACACTGCACCACTGAGCTACTTTGCAGGACCTTGCCAACATTCGAAGAAAAGAAACATTGCCAGCCCGGTCACAGGGCCTTTTAGATATGTAGTCAAGAAAATAGGAAAAGGGGGGCTGGGGAGATAGCTCAGTAGAATAAGCCCTTGCCTGGCAAGTGGAGGGTCCTAACAGGGTCCTGAGTTCAATCCCCGGTACCACAAAAAAAAAAAAAAGGAAAAGGGCAACAAAATTGAGAGGCTGTAGGGAAGGCAGGATGCTCAGGAAAAGAATCTAAATTCAGCTGTATGGTAAAGGGGCAGCAGTGGAGGGAAGTACATTAGAGAAAGAAAATTCGCTGGAAGTGGTCACTACACTGAGGTTTCAGGGGAATTTTGGAGCTGGGTGTGGTGGCATACATCACAATTCTAGGACTTGGGTGGCTGAGGCAAGAGGATTACCTTAAATTTGAAGAAAAATAAAATTAGAGCTGGGTGTAATGGCAATACACCAGTAATCACCCCCCACACACAGCTGAGGCAGGGGATCATGAGTTTGAGGGTAGTTTGGGCAATTTAGTTTCAAAATGAAAATTTTAAAAATGGAGATGTAGTTCATTAGAGCAATTACCTACCAGTGTTGAGTCCAGAGCC